AATGACAATAGTAAGGATTAGAAAAGAAAAAACAGCAGTACCCTGTTGTAGACCAGGCACAGTTGTGGGCGTGACATTGATGAATCAGCCCATTTACAATTCTACAGTGCATGAACGAGAAATGCCCCCCCCCCCCCCCCTTTTGGGAATGGTCTAAAGACACTTCAGTCAGAGGCACCGCCCGGGGGTTTGTGCTGTTTGGCACCGTGAAGGTGGCGCTGTTGTTGCAGCTCGTTAATTGCAGTCCTAAATAAGGCGTTCTTGACCTAAGTTCAGTACTTACTGCTCCGCAGCTCACATTGATGTAATAAACATTTTCGCGAACCATGCATGTCTTGAGCTGCTACTTTTGAGAATCGAAACGATTTCACAGATGCGACACCAAAATCTGCCTCTATTGAACACAGCTGGTCACTCGAGACTGTCCTTTTCTTTGCCCATTCCGGACATTTCAAGTGTGCTAAAAATCTTTGTATAAGTCGCGAACAATACAAACACAGCATTTTAGCCGTATTGCTTCTTTTCATGCAGATTTTTGCCATGAACAAGGCGGAAGGGAAAGTGGCAATCAGCTTCGCTAAGTTGGGGAGTTGTGTAATGAAAGAATTTTTTTTTTAATTGATTTTAAAAAACTAGGAATTTTGTTTGGAATGAGCTATGGGTCATCTTCAGGGTAAATAATTTTGTATTCTTCTATAATGTAGCTAATAAAAAAAAAACATTTTACTAAAGCATAGTTTACTGAATTTTGTTGAAAAGTACTCTTGAAAATAGCAAAATTCGTACATGGATGTGTGGACTAACAACTACTCAATTGTGACGATCAGAGCATATTTGGCTTTTAAGTAACTTTTGGAAAACGTTGCGTTTTTAATGGCGTTCAGTAGATAGATAGATTGATAGATAGATAGATAGATAGATAGATAGATAGATAGATAGATAGATAGATAGATAGACAGATAGTTCGATCGATAGATAGATATATAGATAATTTACATATACATGCACAATGTACACACACACACAATACACACACGCACACACACACACACACACACACACACACACACACACACACACACACACAATCTTGTATGTCACATCGAGTCAGCACGTTTAAAATTTCCCAACAGTCTGGGCACTATATAAATACTGTATAGTAAAATCACTCTCTGGTAAAATGAAACTTTTTTCATATCGGATGTAAAAGTGACATAAAGCAAAAAACTCTCCGTCAAACTTCTTAACAAATGAAAAGACCATCCTCTTGTAAGCGATTAGGTAGACGTATAAGATTTGAAAACATATTGAGGATTTTCTTGTCGGGACGTGAGATTTTACAGAACATATCAAGACTTGGGGTGAAACATCCAAAACGTGGACATCAAGTGTAAATCACATTTCAGCAGTATGGAGTGTATACATTTGTAGTGCCAAATGAGGACTTTATGATAATCTTAGTTTGTATTATCCCTTGCGCGAAAGGCAAACTATAGCTTAGAGGATATAGTGTTTAATGGATACTAAGTGTTCAATCTCAAATTCACACACACCCCCCCCCCCAAAAAAAAATTTTAAAAAAATAAATAAATAAATAAATAAATGAATAAATAAATAAATAAATAAATAATGTGGGTGTTTACGTACCCCCATCGACCTAATTTTTATCATATAGGAGGCGGGCTTCCGACTCTGGCTGTCAAAGCCAACCCGAGCTGACCTGACAGTGCTTTAACATCGTAGCAAAAAGACCGAGGCAGCGTGGTGGAATCAGGCTCGCGTCAAAATAATCAAAGTAAAGAAACTTGCATTTTCCCGCAGGTTTGTGAATTTTTATCAAATTTTTGTTTTTTGGCTCAACACCTTTCATGCCCATTAAAGAACTCATTTCTGTGCGGATTTTCTGTAAAACGTTGATTAAAGGCACACAAAAAATGTAAATTTTCAGTTACCACGGACTCTTAAGCTAAGGAAATAACTAATCTTTGGCGGCCATTTTCTAACTAATTTTACCTCTGAAAAAAGGAGACCCCCACCCCCTTCTTTCGCGAACATCTTGTCTTGTATTCAAGACAAATATATTTTTTTTCATCCAAATAAAGACAGGTGAACAAGCTTTAAGATACTACCAATAACTCTGCATGCCCAAAAATTGACGAGAGTCTGATTCCACCACGCTGCCTCACCAATAGGAATTGTCCTCCTCACTCAGGAATCGATCTTACGTCTTCTATGTGCGCCTAACCACTACATCACAGACCACGGCCTCGTTTTTTTTGGTTATGTGTGTGTGTGTGTGTGTGTGTGTGTGTGTGTGTGTGTGTGTGTGTGTGTGTGTGTGTGTGTGTGTGTGTGTGTGTGTGTGTGTGTGTGTGTGTGTGTGTGTGTGTGTGTGTGTGTGTGTGTGTGTGTGTGTGTGTGTGTGTGTGTGTGTGTGTGTGTGTGTGTGTGTGTGTGTGTGTGTGTAAAAATACAAAATAGGATTTGAAAGTGCACCCAA